AGCCCTCCCCCTCTTACCCCACATTGCCACCAGTCCACATCCGGCCACATGCAACATCCCCCACTCCCTGCCTCCCGTCTCTTTCTCCTTCCTCCTTCCCTGCTGCCTCCCCCTCTCTGCCAGCTGTTGTTGGGGCCAGGTGGTGACAGCAGGGCGGGGCAGGGGAGAGATGCTGCCACCAGAAACCCGCATTCCCCATCCAACTCTCTCATCTCCCTCCCTTCTTCCCCACTGCCTCCCCCTTCCTGGCGGGGTGGGGGGTGGGAAAGCTTGCACCACTGACTTCGCTCCCCTGTTTCAGCTCCTCAGTCCCCACTGTCATGGCAATGCTCCACCATGTGTCTGTCTGTGCAGAGCACTCCGACTGGTTGTTTCAGTCAGCATTGTGATTGGCTGCTGAGACAACCAATCAGAGTGAGAATAAAGCATTACAGACAGACAGACTACGGTTTTTATTATATTAGAATAATGAAGGCTAAATGGCTATTTTTTTCTATTACTTGGCCATAAGGAACAGCTTTAGAAAAAGTTTGCTTTGCTTTATTAAGCACCAATTTTTGTATTTCTTTAGTTTTACAGCCAAAAAGTTTCCTTGAAATGTTGGTTTGTTTCATCTGGGAGTAATAAATAAAGCAAGATGAAACGTGGGCGTATCTACATGAGATGCTATGGCAACAAAGTGTTCGCAGGCAAAAACTGTGACGTTGTAGCCATGTCACTGTAGTGATGTGCTTCCTTGCTACAGTGTATCGCTTTGGTGACATAGGAACTTAAAGTAACCGTGTGCCGCTGACACAGCGCATTAATGGCTGCGCAGTAGGGGCACATATAGATGTGGCAACTTACTACCAATAGGTAACACAGACAAAAAGATGAGTCTCATCTGTTAATTAAAAAAAAAAGGAGATATACATGGTGTTTTACACTAATGCTTTTTTAGTGCTTTTTTATTTTCAAAGTGCTACAATAGCTAAGTAATATCATGAATTAGTGTCTACCTTAAATGCAGCATTTATCTCCAGGAAAGAATCAAAAGTTGTTGAATAAAAGTCAAGTACAGCTTTCCAATCCCCTGATGACTTAGCTTTTTCCATATCCTCCCTAAGGAAGAGCACACACAAATATTTTAACAGAATCTTATGTTCAGTTATTAAGTACTTCATAAAAAAACAAACAAACAAACAAACAAAAAAAAACACCAACAAAAAACCCCCCACAACACCCCCTGCCCCATCCCCAAACTGCATTATACCTTTTACTCCAGTATGACATCTCCAGACAAATTTTTAAGGAAGCTGAACATAGACATGCAAGCTGCTTCTGTTCTAAGAGCTCCCCTTAAAATTATAAGATACTGGTGTCTCAAAAGAATAAATGCATGTTCTGAATCCCCTAAGATTAGGGAACAACAATATCTATTAATAATATTTCTTCATTCACTGGGTTATAAGTATTCCATTTTAAAAAGAAATGATCAACATAGCAGGGTTATTTTGCCATAATTGTTATAAAAGCAACAATTAAAATCTTAAAAAGCTGTTAATCTAAGTATTACAAATATGGATTTATATTTTTAACTGATTTTTAAAAAATCATTAATTTAACATTAAATGTGGACATTTGTATTCACTGAATCAACAACAAAGCTCAAGGATTTACACTTTGTTGAAACCTGGGAGATTTCAAAGTCCTTTTATTATGAGAAAAGTATATAAATACCTTTAAAACAAACTACCAGTTGGAAATAATAGAAAATTTCAAGCTCCCTGCAATGAAGTTGAACATATTTTGTAAAGCCATACATTCAAAACAAGGAAGCAACTGTCTTACTCTTAACTTATTTTTGCAAGAGTGATAAAAACCTCAGTTTGGCTTTTTCAATGAGGTAAGAGTTAATCTGTATTTTAATATTTTGTGTGTGATTAATTTGCTGATTTCAGCAGCACACACTCTAAGGGTTATCAGGAAAAAAGTTTTCCAAAATAGCTTTAGGCCCACATCTTCAAAAATTTGTGGGTATCTAACTCGTTTTGAGATGAATAGGAGTTAGGCCTCTAAATACCTCCAAGATCAGGGCCTAAACAACCGAGGAGTCTGTATGCCTGAGAGTCAATAGCACTTCAGCTACACAAAGAAAAGAGCTAGCTCACGTACCAGAAACTGTGCACCTGCCTTAGCACAGCACTCTGACCCACCTAATTAGACCAGCCATGGCATCTTGTTACCATTTCTATATGGTAGTGTGTTAGGCCCTGTAGACATAGCCCTAGTGATACACACTTCTGAACATTTTACTCCAGATAAATAAATGCTTAGAGTTCAGACGTTTTCCATATTCAGATTTCTTTGACCACCTGAGGCCTGACCAAAAACATACTTCTGCCAGCAGCTCCTCTGGGGTACCTGGATTATGTTCCAAGTGAAGAAAAGCTCAATAAACCTGGCAACCAAAAAGCATTACTTTTTTCTCCTACTGAATGCTAGAAATGTTAAACATACAAAAAAGCAACAAAGCATTTAAAAATGATGAGCTCATATGCCATCCAGAGCAACAGCAATCTTTTCCATCTGTCTGAAAACTAGAACAGTTAAGGAAAAGTCACTAGGAACCCTTTACTAGTATGAAATAACAATATATTGGTACTATGGATGCAGCTGTATGAACAAAGCTTTACTTTTAGTAAATACCATTGCTACAAGAGCCTCTGCCACTACAATCCTTTAAAACAGATGCAAGATGTACAGATAGAGCAATGTATGGTGTAGCTTTACCAACATCCCTGAACATAAACTAAGACCTGGTACAGGTGCTGTTTGTACCAGGAGAGAGTGTAAATACATTCATTACATTTCTTGAGAAGGACACATGCCCCTTCCAGGAGAAAGATCTCTCTTAAGAGAAACTTCCTCTCACAAGAATGAATGCTTGTATGCTGCACTCTTCTTCCCTCCTGATGTGATCCAGGAGAGGAGTGGAACAGCCTCGTATTGCTCTGTGCCTCTTCCCCAGACTGGGGACTCCACAGAGAAAAGAGCTCCAGGGAGTAATGGAAGCTCTCCCTTGTCCTGCTTTCCTGTGCCTCCAGCTGTAAAACTTCCTGTTTACAGCATGTCCCCTTCCCAGAGGGAAGACTGTCAATTAATAGGCTCATATAAGGGCAGCCAGGGAGCTAGACACATGTACATTCCAGCTTCCAGGCTATTTTTCTAGCTGTAATGATTTTAGGGAAACTCTTACTGCTACAAATGAATGTCTGTCTGTGGCTTAAGCAAGCAAAAGACCTTTTCTGGTCAGCATGACTGAATCCAACACAGTTGCGCCAGCACTTCTTAGCATAGACCTAACTCAAGTAAAACTAGGCGACTGTGGCATCGATGCCTATACAGTCAAATGGATTGCAAATTGGCTGAAGGGTCGTACTCAGAGGGTGGTGGTGGATGGGTCTTTTTCGACCTGGGGGGAAGTGGGCAGCAGAGTCTCCCAGGGCTCGGTCCTTGGGCCCGCACTGTTCAATTTCTTTATCAGTGATTTGGACAACGGGCTGAAAAGCAACCTGTTTAAAATTTGCTGATGATACCAAAATTTTGGGGGAGGTGGGCACGCTAGTAGGGAGGGAAAGACTGCAGCAAGACCTGGATAGGTTGCAAGGGTGAGCTAACAAAAACAGGATGCGTTTCAATATGGACAAGTGCAGGGTGCTGCACTTGGGCAGTAGTAACCGGCAACACACTTATAAGCTGGGAAACTCCCTTCTTGAGAGCACGGAGGCAGAAAGGGGTCTTGGAGTCATTATT